CACTTATACACGTTGATATTCTTTTGCCCTATGCGAATATCCCAGAGTAAGAATGAGTTCTGTCTCTCTCTTACACTCCTCCGTCCTAACAGCATCCTTCTCCTTCTCCTCCAACCTTATGCTTCTACACCTCTTCACGGCTATGCTGCATTTTCTCTGTCATTACTTTCATTCCATCTGCATGTTGCAAAAAGTAAAGGGATTTTTTGAAAGTGCCCTATCGCAGTTTTATCTGTACCAGCGTGATACAGCTGAATTTCGAATTACTTTCGGAATTATTTTATTGAAGAAAGTTCACTGGTTCTCTCAGAGATGGCGCCACTTACATGCCCATGTGGCCGGCGATGCAGGTGAGTAAGTATTGCAGGAGATAATACAAAACACACTATAAGTTTATTAATTAGTTAACGGTACAGGAAGGCGGACATATTGCTGTGTTAGATGCGAGTAATGCGAGACGACTAGAAGCGACTGGAAGCTCCCGCTCGTCGAACTCTTGAGGGCGCCACCGCCACGAAGGTCCTCTGACCGGATTGGCTGCTGCCTCGTGGGTCGCCACACTGCTCCCCCTCCAGCGACGTACCTTGGGACGGCGCGATATTTCTTTTGGTAAGAAGGTGGATGAGCAGGTCGTTCTACTGGAGGTGGTGTCATCAAATTTTGTTGGTATGGCAGGCATATTCTCGTCCGAGCTGTGGAGTGAGACCATGTTCCTCAGGCGTCGGTTATTGAGGTCTACAGTCAGATTGTGGCTTTTTAAGAAATCCGCCCCGATGCTGGGCTGCTTCACATCAGCCACGCAGAACTCCCAACGGAAAGGTTTCTGTAGTCCTAGGTCAAGGGTCAGACTTTTGGTGCCAAACGTCTTGATAGGAGTGCCGTTAGCAGCATGCAGCTTGCAATTTGTTTGTTTGCTGAATCCCTTGCAGCACCTTTTTGGTAGGACAGAGATCTCTGCTCCAGTGTCGACAAGGAAGCATAACTGGTTGAACTTGTCGGTTCTCTCAGAGATGGCGCCACTTACATGCCCAGGAGGTGCTGCCCTCTTATCGGCGAAAATTCGAACTAATGGAAATTCAATACTATGAAGGCTTGATAATTTCAAAATTCAAAAAAAAGTGTGCGAGTACCAAAAAGTAAAGCAATTTTTTGAAAGTGGCCCTATCGAAATCTAACCTGTACCAGCCTCTTCTATGGACCATTCTGACTTTCTGCATTAAGAGATCTTTTAAAATTTCAATTAAAAAGCCAAACAACCAGCTGTTTTTAAGATACAGCCTCCCAAAGGTTCAATTTCGAGTATTGAATTTCAAATTATATTAGGAGTAGGAGAAGGATGCTGTTAGGACGGAGGAGTGTAAGAGAGAGACAGAACTCATTCTTACTCTGGGATATTCGCATAGGGCAAAAGAATATCAACGTGTATATGTGTTTAAAGATAATTTATTGGCCAAACGCAATAATGATACAGTATACAAAGTACATAGTATACAAAGTGCAGACATACATACACACAGCCATACAAAGTACATAGCATACAAAGTGCAATCATACATACAGACATACACATACAGCCCGCGAAAGATTTGTAATAACAGTACCATAAAAGATATATTACATATATGACTGCGATATAATATACGTAGTTATACGCACTACAACTTTAAACTTTTCTTTTTCCAAAAGACATTTTAAAAACTTAGTTTTAAAGGGTATACTAGGAGGAGAGTGATGCAGACGTAGGAAGGAATAGGAGATTCGAAAATAGAGTAGAAACATTTAGTGGCAGCAGCCAGGGAAGATATTGTTGAAGGAAAAAAGAGGAAGATTGTTAGAAAGAAAGAGTGAAGAAGAGTGATGGTGAGGATTGAAGGAACGAGGGGAGAAAAAGGTGCGTAAAACGTATGCACGAGGACCAGATTACTTGGGAGGAACGACAAATGAGAAAACTCGAAAAAGTAGGAAAAATAAGAAGTATAAGGGAGTGAAATGGGCCCCACCCCGCCCATTTCCGTGAGGTCCTGCCTCTCCTGAAGGGAGCTACGACCCCTCCGAGGCCCCATAGGGGACCATGTTTTTTTGTTTTTTTTTTGAGGAAAACCCCCGAGTCCTGCGGCTTTCGCGCACAGGACAAGGGGGGAAAAACCTCAGGAAGGATTAAATATAAAAATAGAAGAAGGTTGGAAATGAATATGAAGGGTATTTCCAAGAGACCAGTATAGGAGACCGGCTCGAGGAAGAATGAGCGCTCCGAGTCAGGGCCTTGCCTCGAGCGCCCCCCACCGTCCGCCTGCTCCCACTCGCGGAGTCCTCAGCGAAGAATTTGCGCGCACACAATTTTGGGCAACTTCCAGTACTTCTAAATATGCTTTTCCAAAATTTTCGATTTTTTAGTGTTAATATTTTACGTTATCGATTTAATTTATTATTTTAATGTCTGAAATAGCGTCTTCTGAACAATTAATTAAAAATGCTGAAAGATACGTCGATCTAGAATTAAAACGCGATCATCAGCTCGATCCAGAATCCTTTTTAATGTACATCTATGTCGACTTTATGTCCTAGGAGTCCCGGGTAGCTACGTTTGTACATTACAGAAGAATCTACCAGTTATTAATTACTTACGAAACTGATTGTCAATAAGACAAAACTGCTTCCGTCTTCCTAGCCTCGCTATACTTATAACTAATAGCTATTCCTAAACGACTATAAGTTAAATTAATTCATATACTTATCTATTTACAACCTACGTACAAACAATCTAATTCTTTAATTTTACTCAAAGAGACATTTCATCAGTATTAGAAATTTTCAAATATATATTTTGTACATAAACTCTAAGCAGCCGGAATCTCAAGGTGGATTACACTTACTGATGTGTCTGATCGCAAATGATGTCTCAAGCGGCACCTCGAAGCTGAATTATCATTTGTGTATACATATTTTTATTTATTTGAACGTTAGTTTAACTGTATTCTTAATACCGTCACATGGATCCTCTGTGTATAAGAGAAATTGATCAAGCGTCTCAATATATGGAATATAATAGAATAGGATATGCCTGTTCAACTAGAATCCGAATGATTAACCTTTAAAAGTACATAGAGTCATAATGATATGAGCTAATGATATGTTTACCGAAAGAATCATCCTCCATAGATATAAATATAATGACAGTTTATCATAAGAATTCTATTTCGATAATAGGCAGTACTCCAAGTGCCATTCCTCATTGGTCAAACATTATGATTGATGTGTAAATATTGTAATTTTAAAATGGTAAAACCGAAAAACTATAAAATTGTCACCTTAATACGTTATTATGAATTCTATAATGATTACCAATTCTAAGGGCCTGTTTACTGTGCTTTTTAAATAAAATATTCTTTACTTTAACTGCTCAGCACCTCTGTTACATAATATTGTAAATTATAGTTTAATTAAACCAACACGCGACTTTTCACAAGCGACACTTATCCTGAATCCTACTGATTGTCAAGTTATGATCAAAAAATAAACTTTCGAATGCTGCTGGTATAATTTATAACTATTGAAGTTTCACTTTTATAATTTTATCGTTTATTGTTACTACGTTGTTCATACCAGACGGGTATTATGCACCGAGTGATTTTAGATCGATTGACGAGCGAAACATAAACGGATCTGCATGCTGAATATATTGAGATTAAATCAACGAATTTACAAAGAGTTGGAGACTAACAGGGACTGCAATCGATAATTCCATTCATCTTGAAAACTCGTTATTGTTAATTAGAGATTGCTGTTTATATCAAATTCCTATTCATCAAATCTACCGTCACTTATTTCTATTTACCTTCTATTTTATTTATTTGCAGCACCTTTGATAGAGGATTCCGCTTGTCTCTACCTGAAATTCATAGTTATTAAACATGTACATTTCTCTATTTTAATAAACTGTGGCAACACAAATATTCTTCGTGTGATAGAGTACAATTATTGTAATGTCCTTTGACATTAATGTCTTTTGACGTAGCGGCGAGTCTGGAAGTAGAACAGCTGTGTATTCTGACGTCAATACTCAGACGGTCAAGTAGTTAGTCAGCCACTATCAAATCTGATAAAATCACTTTCACAATTGTAGTTTGATCAACAATCCTGATTAAGATTAAGAATTAAATCTATAATAAGGTCTTAATTTAAGAAATTGGTATTCAAATTCTAATAACATTTGCACGTGGAGATGGTTGCCTATCGGAAGGCGCACCTAGTATACAGTTTCTAATAAAAAATTAATAGGACTCCTAATCGTACTTAATCAAATGTATGGATCTATAAGTGTACTTTATTACACGTTTTAAGGCACCATCACAACCGGTGCTCCACACAGGTTTTCTTATTCTCTAATATCAATAGACACAATGAAATATGTACAAGCTCCCACGAACGACACGTCCAGGTCGTAAGATCCAATTTAGTACATCATTCCAGGATGTGCTCTTTGAAAGAAAACATTCGGATTCGCCGAGAGTGTCGTGTAGAGGTTACCAGCAGCTTCCTCGGGTCTCAGATACATTCCTGGTGGTATGACAAAAGTCTCCAAGGGTCCATGAACGTCTGTAAGTAATATAAGTAGAAATAAAAAACGTTAGCGTTACGATTCTATACATGGATGCTGTAATTAATATTATGGGGATATTGTCACCAGATCCAGGGCCAGTAACCTTACAGTCTGTAATTTTCACAGCGTATTCCGCGTGCTGCCCGCAATAATAGGCATTACGGTAAAAGGAATGCACGTTACGCACGAGGCCACTCCACCGACGCGTACGAGCACGCGTCTGTCGTGCGTATCGCAATGGCGCCTGTTCTTCCATGTGCACATTACTCCGGTATATACTGGGTGGGTGAAAGTACGAAGAACGATATCTAACAATATCAAAGGACTACGGAGGAAGAGGTAATTTTCATGGCTGGTTTAACCTCACTCAGCAATGATGCTTCTCGAGAGTCGATCAAGATGCTCCAGGGTATCAGTGTGAATGGGGCCTTGCCGAAGAAAGCGGATCGTTTAACGGGTGAGATTATACTGTATTATTAATATATTAAAATCATGGCGAATATACGTGCCTTCGGAATAAACGGGACTGCCACCGTGCCTGCACGCACTGCAATTCGGAATTCCTGAAGAAACCAAGGCGACACGATCTGTAATTAAGAGTTGTTTAAAGAACTTTTTATATGTTTTTCTTCAACATTTATTTTGTACGTCTTCAAGCTACTCACCAGCGCTCTGGTACTGCATCTTCCTCTTGAGGGAACCCGGGGCTGGTTTGAAATGAAAGAAGGACGGCGAGTAGCCACTAGCTGGTAGGGAACTAAGTTGTTCTTCCCTGTCTCGGACCGCACTAGGTCCTTCCCGACCTAGAGCAGCCAGTTGTCTACCCTTCGGCAGGAACATAGTCAGGAATACGAATAAGGACGTTGCCAAGAGGCCGTAAGCCAACCAGGCCTCTTTATTATCCTCGGATGCTATTAGAGATCCAATCCCAGTTGATATCCATACAGGCAGCGATCCTCCAACGGCCATCCCGATGAACGCTGCTTCCCTGTAGTTGTCCCGGACTCCTCTTGCTCTTACGGCTAAACAAGCTACGGCGACAAGGAGCAAACTGACGTACCTGTTTAAATAAATTACAGTACTTGTAATTGATCGTAATATGGAAATAAGTGCATCGTCGGTCACTTACCCGAGGGATGCTACCGTGTGTCCAAGAGGTGTCTTGCAGCTGGGTAGTCCAGAGTTCTGAGACTGAATGACAGCTGGTGGCTCCCCGTAGAACCACTGGCCGATAATAGCAACCTGGACCAGGACAGCAAAGATCAGAACCAGTGCCTGAAATAATGCCGAATTAATGTTCCTGCTCGAAGGTGAATATTCGAGGTAATGAGATACTCACTTGATAAGGAGCTGGCAAGTATACTCCACTGTTCAATGATAACAGGAAGACACACTTGACGAGCAGCGCAGCGAAGACAAGAGCAGCGGGTAGGCCGACCAGTCGAAGTGCAGCACAGGACAAAGGATTCGGCGTGAGCGAGACAGCTGCCGAAAGTCCCGCCAAGAGGAAGAGGCCCAGCAGGAGAGCTTGCCCGAGGAATAAGTGTCTTCTGCTGGGAGCAGCTGCCCTCGCCTGTAAAAGCGAGAGCTTGGAAAGGTCGGTTCAGCGGAGCAAACGAATCGTAGGTCTCGGTCGCGGTCGCGTTCTCGGCGAAACTGCAAGAATTGGAGCTTATCGACGAACGAAGATAATCGACCGATCGTTCTATTAATCTTTTTATCTATATATCTATAAACACTGCCTTGGCCCTGATGAGTTCTCAGGGAAGCTGCGGCGCGACGGTTTCGCCTAGTTCTCATTGCGAGCATTAAATTATAATTAACTCGGGGAATTTCTCTCTCTAAACAATGGCTGACTAACCTTCAGCAGTACGAAGACTTCAAAGCCGACCATGAGGAACATCGCTGCTGCGCTCAGGGCTGCTAGAGGAAGAGCCCAGGGCTGCTGCCTGAGTAAGGGTTGCTGAACGACAGTTGAACTCGGTATCCCGGAGACTTGAACTTCGGCAGGATATCCGGTTCGGCCGGGATGTCCTCTGAAGATGGAAATCGTTCGATTTGGTGCTGGCACGCTGATCACGCTCGCGACACTAGCTACATTAGCTACGCTATTCTTCTCCGAGACGTCGGGAACCAGGAAAAACTCGGTCGAGAGCTCAGGTCGACCCTCGCTATTCTTTGGAATAAGATACTGTCCAGTGGTACGTCCCAGCCAGGCCGTAGCCGCCGATAGAAGTATAGGACTCAGTCTCATCTTGATTTGGAGCTGGTACACGTTGAATTTGACATGTCCTCTATTTCCATTTATATTTCTGGTCTCGCCCTGACAGCAATCTTCACAGATATTCTCCGCTCTTACAACCACATCTTTTTTATCTTGTACAATAAGTATGACACATTACAGTAACAACCTGACGTACGTTCCAATCAAAGGTACACTTCAAATCCATCCTGATAAAATTTTCCACTAATAAAACACAAAAGATCAAAGACTCGCGTTACACAGTAAAACTGTTAAAACTTCGTTAACCCTTAATTCGATTAAATATAATGAATGAAGAAGACAGACGATCGAATGAGACTAAGCCAAGATCATCGCACTCGGAGAGTCCGTACCCGCACCGTACGCAATGAGAGTCGCACTCGGACTGAAGACTTCAGTCAGGATGGCTGAAAGCATCGCTGAAAACACGCTGCCGCTAGTGAACTGCCCGAGCGTCGCGTCGCGTCCCAGTCTCCTGGCCCATCGAGCAGTACCTTCCACCAGGAGAGAGGACTCTCCACTAGCAGCACTAGCACGCGGAGAGTCAAGGTAGATTCCGCTGATAGAAAGGCGAGAGAAGGATGGATACGGCATGGCGAGCGAGAGGGACGAGAGAAGGAGGAAGGAGAAAGATATATCAAGCGCGGAGAAGAGGTTCGTAGAGCGACAGAGAGAGAGAGAGAGAGAGAGAGAGAGAGAGAGAGAGAGAGAGAGAGAGAGACCCATACGGTCCTCGGGAAGCCGAGAGAGTCCCCGTGAGGCCCAGCAAGGGGCGGCCAAGGGGGGAGCAGCGGGAACGCATTTACATATCGGCGTGTAATAACTTGGAAAAAAAATTTTAACAATGGTCCATGGATGCTCTGTCGAAGCACGGACTAGAGTTGGAAGCCAAGTAGATATTATCCACCTGCAGGAGTCGTGAGCAAGTAACACGCTGAAGTAGTAGCTAACTACTGCCATATGTATTTCCAAGTCCCATGCGAAGGAGGTACTTCGAAATGCCCCTTTTCTTCTAACGGTATTCGATACCGGATGTCTCCGCTACCGGCGACAGACTGGAGAACATTATTGGCTATTACGGTTGTCCTATGGCTAAAGAATCTCTCATTTGCCTACCCCTTGCAGCAGGACGAGGACGACTGTAACCCTATTGTCATGATATCCACGAGTGACGGCCACACCCGGCACTTTCTCCAGTGACGCCAAAGATACGCCGGAGGTTCGCTTGTGCCGCCAAGAACGGCCAACAATAATGCAGCCTACCCACACGACTCTAGTACGATAAATGGCCTCGCCTTGTCCTACGAGCAGCGACGCCTTCGACAACGTGGGGAAGACGTCAACGTCGAATGGATCTTGCATATATCTGTACGCTATGAGTGATCCCTACCTATCCTAGATATTCCTTCACGATGGGATTTTGTGTACATTGCTACGTAATCATCCGTTTTTTCTTCCTCTTGTAACGTAGGTGTAGCCGGTCAGGATTCGTGCAAGGGACCTTGACGTTGTTGCCCGGAGAGCAGTCAATGAACTTTCTCATGAAATTCAAGCGTTTCGTGAACAGTGAGTGGAGCCATGCGTGTGCCACACATGAGATAACTGGTCTGCCTGTGAATTTAAAGATGTGTCGAACGTTCGTAAGGTAATTCACCATCGGGAATTCTGCATGAGCTCTTCCTCTGGATAATATCAATGATACCGGGTAGATCTTGGGTAACTGTGGGTACGTCATTCGGTGGTGAGTAATATAATGAAGTATCTAGATAAGAGATTTCTCTATGCCAGCCTGCATGTAGCTGCCGCGCGCAGGAGACGCGAGAGATAAGATAGAAATAAGTCTGGAAGTTCCAGGAACCCTAAAAGTTGAAAGCCGCTCGTAAAACTCTGAGGGGGAGGTTGAACCTAAGGCCAAAGTAACTTTGCAACCGGTTTCGTCGAACGCTAAATAAAGTCATGTAGGTACGACGTGTTCGAGGATATCGCAGTCCTGATAATTGCACTCTTTAAAAAAAACCTATACAATTCCTTTCCAAAGCATATGGTTCACTTCAATTACAGATTAACCCGTCCTTGTGAAAACTTCATTCACCTGGGCCCACTTCTTCCTTCGTCAGGAGGATCAGCTCAGAATTCATTCTGCTGCGACTCTAGGATAAAGTGCTGTTTAAAAATACACTGGACGGATCCTGCCGACTCCCGAGTCCTCGAGCTAGCGCTGCATGCATGTATATTGATGAGACGTGGCCACCAAAAGATGCATAGAAAAACGTCAAAGATCCCAACTGTCTGATTTAATGGATCTCGCACGAAGTCTAGCCGAGCGTATGGACTTTGAAATAAAATGAAAGAGAATAGGAATATCAAGGAGTATACGTGGTGAACGTGATGAACGTGGTGAACGATACACGCATCATATGTTCGTATAGAATATACCATGAGAAAACTATAAAGAATTGATAAAAGAGTCTTTTATCAGTGACTATGGTAAAGAAAGAAAATCCGTAGGAATCCTTTGGTCCAGCAACAAAGCCCTATTGATTATAAGATAGATCTCAAACGAGACACGTCTTTCGATCAGGATGACAATGATGACACGAGGAACGTAGATAGGTTCTGCGTAGGTTCTGCGTTCAACGTAGAGCAGATGAGACGTGTGTCTCATACGTATAACGTATCGGATATAACGGAATTCTTTGGGTCCCAATCTTCTTTCCCTCTTTTTGTTTCTCTTATTTTTCCATGGAAACAGAGGAACTTCGAAGAAGCTACCAAAGAAGACTGCCTCTTCTTCTTTCGGATTCCAAGAGAGCCTCGGTCGCGCCATCCACAAAATTCGTACGGCGTACGTGGTGGGGCATCGCGTCGAGGGAGCAACGGGGTCGGCAGAGAACAGTGGAGATTCAAGAGAGTCAAGAGTCTAGAGAAAGATGGAGAGAGAGAGAGAGAGAGAGAGAGAGAGAGAGAGAGAGAGAGAGAGAGAGAGAGAGTGAGGAGAGAAAAGAGGAGGAAAGGAACGCAAGACGCCTCGGGCCAACTGTCTCCGAGAGATTCATTTGGCGGATAACGGTTAGAGTGCGAGGTAGTTTCTACAGTTGATTCAAATAATTTTCATGGTTCCTCCTTCTCGTTTCGTTATTGTAACGTTAATTGCATAAATATAAATAACAAAGTCACTCTCTTCCTCTCCTTTTCCCTCTGCAGACAATAGAATTACATTGGATTTTTCAAACCGATTATATACCATTCAAGAGAGTCAGAGGGACACAGCAAAAAATCCAGACTGTCTTACGGCATCACGTGTAACCGCAAACCGCGCTGGTTTGCTTTATAGTATTTTTTCATCGTACTTCCAACCCACCCCGTCCTTTTGTAGCGTGGTGGATTCTTTTTATTTTGCCAGCAGCCACAGTTTGTGCGACACGCTGTGCCTTATTTGCACTGGCGCGAAAGAGACAAGGGCTCTTTCTTTTCCACAATACTGCATGTGTATGTACAGCTTTGCCTTGGTGCTCGTCCCCTGTCAGCAGTGCATGCGGCATGGAAGTACTTGGATACTCGCTGCCAAAGGTGCCTCCAACTGCCGTGTGAAACTCCACGTGACTGCAATAATATTTTATACATATACGCAGCCAATGAATTATGGGCTATTAAACTTAGCCGGGCACTCTCGAATCCTCGAGCGTCCACTAGGAGCATTACTTCGCGCCTGTGGCTTTGCAATTTCCGAAGATCCAGATTCAACGGAGAAGATGCCAGTGCGAATGGTCCTGAAGAAATTAAGTAAAAGGATCTAGATATAATTATTAGTCTTGAAAGACTTTTAGATCACGCAACTCCGTGTCATTGGCTACTAGATTAACTACAGTACAATTGAGAACGCATCGATCAACATGGATTCGGGGGCCACTGATATAATGAAATTTCTAGTATCAGTGAAGACACAGATACTCGCTTCTAGTGTCATCAGACTCATTTCCTGGTAAACGATGTCAGAGAGAGCATGGCAATTGTTACTTGTGATGGGAGCTGCGACATTCAGTACAGGTGTGGCTGTCAAAATTGACAGCGGGGATCATCCGATTGAGAGAATTGTCAATGGAGAATTGACAGAGCCTTATGAGTTTCCTGGTATTCTTTCCCTGGGATTGACGTCCTGGGCGTCGATCATGCATCTGCATCAATGCGCGGGATCTTTGATAGCTGAAAATTGGGTACTGACTTCAGCGGGGTGTGTCCTGGGGTAAGTAATGATAACAGGTATCTATTATTCTGGTATTGCGATAAGAGACCAATGCAATTTCAAAATTTACTTCTATATTATTTACCTAGTGCCGTGAATAATACTGGACTTTACTACTGGTTAGCTGGTACATATCATCTTCATCTGCCAGGCATTACGCGTAATATACAGAGGATCGTTCAGCATCCGAATTACAATCCTAATGAATCCTGGATTCATGATTTGGCTCTTACTCAGGTGATACTTAGTTAACCTGTCTGAATTAATTCTGACGATTGATAGTGTTTACTTGCAGTTGGATAAACCCATCGTCTTTTCCATATCAGTTCAGCCTCTGATCTTGAAGCCATCTATCGATATGTCAATGGACACTGAATTTACTGTAGCCGGTTGGGGTCAGGTTTCTGAAACTTTAATACAGCCATCGGTACTTCGTAAAACGACAGTAAAACTGTCCGATGGAGATTTCTGTAGAAATGCTTATGCCAAATGGAATTTGAGCATCCACGAGGAATTTCAATTTTGCGCAGGGTCGAGAGACGAGGTCACTGGAGTATGCGATCGGGACACGGGAGGACCACTTTTTCTTAAAAACAGTAAAGTCATCGTGGGCGTAATATCCTGGCGATATGGCTGTGGACTACCAGAGTATCCTACAGTTTACGTGCGGCTCTCTTCCTACATAGAATGGATGAGTCAAGTGACGGGATTGTTCTTTTATCTTTAGAGAAAGAGATAAGACTTAACAGTTATATAATAACAGCATTTCGTCCTTACTATCACGCGGGTATCAATAAATGGTCAAATGAAATACGATAATGTCTGTTTTTTTTTTAAATACTGTACGACTGTGTTTAACAAACAAATGGCAGCCACGCAAAATAGTATTGGTTGAACGAATAAAAAGTTTTTCAATTTAAATACTTGACTGTCGGGTAGCATTCCAAGAGGCATTATTATCGCGTGACGTAAGAAGAGTTTAGTAACAGCAACAGCAAGTTTAATACATCGAAAACGGGTTTTCTTCTTCGTGAGATCTTAACGAAATCACGTCAGTACGAATGATGAAACGACTGAGCGAGCACGACAGGGCTATCCTGAGGACGATCTTCGATCCGCTCCTGCCGTTGGGTGAACCGGTAGCCTCTTCCACGGATAAGGATATCCTGGGTACGTGATCACCCTAGACCAATATATATCTTAGTATGGATACCTTCATGATTCCTTTTTCCATTAGAAGATCACATTGAAAATTATACCAATCCGAACCCCGAGGTAGCTGCCATTATAAAGCTCGGGATAGCAGCTGCCGAGGATAAACGTTTCGAAGAAGCTCTTCGTTACTTTGACGAAGCTCTTAAACAGGATCCTAATTCGCCTTATGTTCTGAACGACAGGGCTCAGGCGCTACGTCTGGCTGGTCGCGACGAAGGTATCGATTCTTTCTTCTTTTCCATAGTAAATGTAAAGTATACCACACGCTTGAGAGAGCGCAATAGGAAGTAAGCCACGCTTCCTGCACAGAAGCCATGAACGACCTCAACTTGGCCGTGGAATTGAGCGGTGGAAAAGGAAAGGCTGGGATCCGTGCGCTTTGCCAGCGCGCTGCGCTTCATAGGAGTTTTGGGAAGATTGAAGAGGCACGTCAAGACTTTTCTATGGCTGCTAACGGCGGATCGTCCTTCGCACGTAGCCAAATGGTCGCCATGAATCCTTACGCTGCTATGTGCAATGATATGCTGCGTCAGATCACTTCGAAACCCCGTCAATCTTAAATATTATATGTATGATTATCTTCATGTGTATGGATATTTGACTTTTGATATTTTATTTTTATATCAATAATCATTCACTATGTCTACGACAATAATAATTATCATTCGAACGATCCACATAAAAATATAAATTATAATCTTTTGTATTAAATTTTTAGCACACGAATCTCTCTGACGAATCGTATCCCCGTTGTTTATTTATATGTCTATTATTTATTGATTCACAAGGAGGACGAAATTGTATGAATGTAACGGTTATCGAATTTTCAGATAACGATAAACGTAAAATTCGATTCCATCCAACTTCGCGATTCTTTTCAGCCCATGTTAGTCCATCGATGAAATTCTAAATGCAGAAGACACAGCTCAGCTATTAACCGGCCACGTTTCCCCATAGATCAGCGCCGAGTCTATTTGTTTGTCTATTATTTTTCCAGCGAACTCGTAACATCCTGCCAAAATGTCGAATCTTCCTATAATCCCGTAGCACATCCTCCACCACGTCTTTAAGAATCACCTGGATTCTTGTGATGACGTTCATTCAAGAAGTTATAGTTTTAATAATGATATCGGAGCGATCGATATTTTTATGATAAAATGCAAATGGTGCAGGTCCAATAACGAACAAACCATTGGACGACAGCATATTGAATATTCATTGAAGGTTTTGTCATTCTACTTATCCTCCAGCTCGGTATGCTGTACCATTTCAAAGTCACGACTTGTATTTGACTTCTCGCTTTCGGAACCTTCCTCGCTGACATCTTCTCCTTCGGCTGACTCGGTTGCTCGGCATTTTTCATCTTCCTGAGATCCACCCTCTTTGCCACTGACAATTTCAATTTTCCTCGTATCTTCAGCGCCAACTGAATCGGCTGCTTCCGTGGTCGTCGATGTTTCCTCTCTGTAATATAATTGACAAAATCTGTATTGACAGCAGCTGAACATCATTTACAGTGAAAACTTACGATCGTAACAGAGGTGTATCCTCAGCGTCTGAATCTTTGTCTTTCTTGCGTTTCTTCTTCTTATTTAATTTTTTGTCACCTGCGGTCGTTGGACCGCAATACTCGTACTATCATAGGATGAAATATTTTTCTGTTTAATGATATATTACAATGGAACTAGGAAAAGGTTTAACCTAGTGCTACCTACGTGATAAAGGGGCCAGAATGATGCGAAGAATCCAACGTCTTCGGCTAGATTCGGTAAGAACCAGAGGTGATGTCTTCCAAGGGTTATTACCCAGAGGAAAGAAAAAACTATGAGTCTGACGACAGCTAGCACTAGGATGAATACCAGGAAACCAGCTGCTGCGACACTCAGGTAGTAAACTCCTTGACGAATGGACGGAGGCCACAATGGGAATAGACAGACACCGATAGCACCAAGAACAACCAGTGTACCAAAGAGCCAGTAATATGCTGGTATCGGTTCGTATATCCAAACATATGCATCATTGCAATCAGCAAAGTATTGATCCAGGTGCATCTCAAGACGTATCTAGAATAACAAACTGTTGTTTCAACCTGTTACAATTCCATGGTTAAATGACGCTCTTCTTTATGATGAATATACCTTCGGCTTCTTTTTCTGTTCTTTCCGTTCATCCTGTTTATCATCCCCTTCCTTGGTACCATCCCCAGATTCCTTGCTTTCTTTTGTGTCCTCTTTATCTTTTTCTTTCTCTTTATCCACAGACTTTTTCTCCTCTTTGTTATCCTTGCCCTTCTTTTTAGCTCCACGAATAATATTTAACTCTTTCTCTGATACAACAACTTTCTTTGCCCTATGAAAAAATTTGTGCCTTAACATTGCATCTAGGAAGTCCGTAATCTGTTCACGAGTTTCAAATTGTGTCTTGCTCCAGGGTGATTTCTCAAGTAGAGCATCGACAGCTCGAGATCCCGTAAAGTATTCCACATTGTGATTCAAGAATTTAGTCTTCTTCGAAGGAACATTATTGCGAATCCATTTAGCAACTGCATACTCTTCCTTAGCTGGTTTATCTGGTGCTTCTTCGCCATCCGGATTTGGTATATCCTGTTACCAATATAATTTTACAATAATATTGACGTAACTCAAATCGACTGTTTCGGAACAACTCCACCAACTATTTCCCATAAAGAAAGTACTAAATTCAAATACATAAGTGTTAGTATTAAACTACAAGAAAAAATCAAAGCTAGGTCAGAAGACATTGACTAGACAGCAAATAATATGCACGCTAAATAAGCGCCAGTAGTCTACGTCATCCGTCACGCATTCGGATACGCGAATATCTCAGAGTAGACACGCTTCCCAGATTAAACTCCTAAAGTGAACAGTAGGCAAAACGTAGGCCGAAGATTTGTAGAATATCCAGAAAAATCTATGGTTAATATATAACTGAGAATTAAGGTAAAAATTAATGCCATATGCGGTGCTTACATCCTTGCGCCTTCTATTTTTCCTGCGCTCCGCCATGTTGTAAATTTTCCCTGCGTCTCCGTATCCGCGTGACCAAAAGCAGAAACGGACTGTTCGCAGCCGAATCGAACCAAACCGTTCCGGTAATGGCAGTCGTTTGCAGTCGTTTCGTCGTTCTACAATTTTAATCCAAATAAAAGGAGTATACTGATTCACGTTACTTTACGCCATCTGGCCATGACAAGACGAAGGTCTGGGCTTCACTCGGGTCATCGTCGTGCGCGCGAATTTGCCCGAGTCGGCTCGAATCCACTGGCCGATTCTTATTTGATTTATCACTTGACACTATTTTCTATTTTTTTCAAAGTCAACGCAAGTTATATCCCTTCTCCATTCCTAGTACCTTGAACTTCGAACGTCTATACATATTTTATAACCGAATAACTGGAATAACTTTCTAGTTGAGTTTTTGCACTATAGTAGATACTTTCAGATTTCGCGTTTCTACTATGTATCTTATACGTACTAACGTCGTATTACTTATGCAATAACAAATTGGATACTTGTTCATGATTTACAGTCATTCTAGGAGATGTTAAGTTGTAATTATATACGAATCCAATGTGCTAAACACTTTGGATCTAAGCGCTGCTTTGAGAATCGTTGCTATGTTGCAACAAGACATCAGCATCAGAATGCGTCCAAGGTGAGATTCCATATATGGAAAGTTAAATAATGCTGAACTTGAATCTTTCCAACGAGAGTTTAACGATCTTTCTGTTTCAAGAGATCTTATGAAATTCTTGGAGTGTCCGAAGATTGTGAGGACGAAACTTTGAGACTGGCATTTGTACATTTGGCTAAAAAATTTCATCCTGATGGTAGAAGCTCTGAAGCTGATCCTGTTAGATTCACAGAGGTATTGTAATAATCATCTTTAGGAGAGTGGCTACGATTCTTTCTATATCTTTTAATTATATTAATCCTAAAACAGATAGAAAAAGCATATAGAGATATTCAACGTAGTCGAAGTGAACAGCGGGAACGGGAATCGAAAATTCAACCACAAATAGATGAGCATGATATTAAGGTACATAAGAAAATGGTTGATTGATTAACAAATTTGTACTTACAAGCAAGCAGAGATATGCAAATTTCATTTTTAAATTGTGCACTTTGTTTTGTTTAGCACACAGCACCACAGCACCGACGCTACTTGAACTATGATGTTGGAATTGGTACTCCTAGCAAAAGACAAAGGCAATACAGTATTGAGCGCGCTCAAAAAGCAGTGGACAATATTATGGAGCATAGATTGAAAAAGTTACAGGCTGAGGAACGCAATACTTTAATGGGAATGGATAAAGAACGAGCTAAAGACATAAAAACGCGTTACGGGATGGATCGTCTGGTTGAAGATTTAATTCAGGAAGCGATGAATAAAGGAGAATTCTCGGATCTACCTGGTTCTGGTAAACCACTGAAGAATTTTCGTACTACGGAAAATCCTTACGTGGATTTTGTCACACATAAACTTAATCAGGTATGCACCATAAGTACCATTTGTGTACTGAATATATTGTTTTTCATGACGTTTGATTGTACATATAAATTTTGATACAGGTTCTGATAGATAATGGTTTCACTCCGGAGTGGATTCAGTTGTCTAAAGAAATCAGAGAGGAAAAGGATGATTTACAAAAACGATTAATTGAGGCACGTAATCGTTTGGGAACTACACCACTGTCAGAAGAGGACTTAGAATCCTGGCAAAATACCTTGGAGAGCTTAAAAATTGTGACTAAGAAAATTAATGATAAAGTTGATAAGTATAACTTATTAGTACCGATACTGCAGAAACAAATGTTGCAAGTAAATCTAGATGCTCTCGCAGAGGAGGCTCTAACTAAACCAGTTGTACCAGTCGAAAAACGAATGTCGAAAAATTGTATGACTAATAGAAATCAGGATCATGGTGATATTTTCAGTGCGCTCTTATCTTTTTTGGACCGAAAACATACTTAGTGGATATAAAAATTTGTTGAGTACTTTACTGTAAAATATGGTATTTTAACTGTTAATAAAGCTTGCAAAAAGATTATTTAAATGAGACACTGTACAGTTATAATGTATTCCGAATGGCGCCTTATGGACTAGACTCATGTAAAAGATCTATAAAGTGATAATTAATGATTCCATTCAAGAATGCCATTTTCATTAAGGCGTATTTCTCCTGTCGCTAGGCGTCGTAAAGCTCTTGGAAATGCACGATGTTCTGCAACCTTCACTCTTTCTTGAAGAATTTCTACAGTGTCATTATGTAGTACAGGAACTACCTCTTGTTCAATTATTGCTCCAGAATCTATATCGACCTGTACATTCGGATAAACTCTATTATTCAAAACTTGAGTTTATTTAATTTATTACTTACCTCGACAAAATGTACAGTGCATCCAGTCACTCGGACACCAGCAGCAAGAGCATCTTTGTGAGCATGTGCTCCTTTAAATGATGGTAATAATGCAGGATGCACATTGATAATGGCTCCTCTCCATTTTTTCACGAAAGGTTCAGACAGTATTCGCATGAAGCCAGCAAGACATATAATTTCTACTCCAGCTGCTTCAAGCTCAGCATCCATTGCCTGATCGAAGGTCTCACGGTTTGGAAAGTCTACGTGTTTTATTACCTGTTATAATAATGATAACGGTAATGAATAATGAATTCATCAAAATGAAAATGGACAAAAGCCAACAAATTTACCTTAGTTTTTATTCCAGCTTTTTGTGCTCGTCTTAATCCCTCAACGTCAGGCTTATTGGAAATGACTAAAACGATCTCTGCTCCTATGTGTTGTGTCCTATCCTGCGTAGCATCTATTAGAGCCTGTAGATTAGTGCCGCTTCCAGATATTAGAACTCCAACCCTTCTCAGGGGTTTACAAAGATTGGAGACTAGGTAGGACACGTGTTTCTTCATATGTACTTCTATTGCTCTTTCAAAATTTTCTACTTGTACTCTGTCTTCTATGTCAGTAGTTCTATGAGATTTTACCATTCCAATAACCGTGGGATTTTCATTTCTTAATGTGTTCAGAACTTCCTTCTCGTCTACCGCAGAACAAATGAGAATCGCACCAATGCCACAGTTAAAAGTTCTCAGCATTTCTTGTCGATTTATACCACCTGAGATAAAATGTTTTTAGTATCAACTCTATATGATGATAATATAAAAATATTAATAATGGTATACTGACCGACAGTGGCTAACCAGCCAAAAACAGGTAAAATATTCCACTTATTAGCATCAAGAAGTACGCCAGTATCCTTTGGCAAAACTCGTGGTATATTTTCAGTAAGACCACCACCAGTGATATGTGCGAATCCCTTAACATAACCAGATCTTAAGGCAGGAAGTACTCCAACTGCATATATCTTAGTGGGCTCCAGTAGTTCCTCCCCTAAAAATGTATAATTTCTAAATATTTTCATTTATAGACTTGGGAAGTCCTTAGAAAATGTCATACCAATAGTTTTTCCTATGTTTGAAAACGGTGCCGGATCGGAATACTGTTTATTGGCAATCTTCAGTACTTTGGAAACTAAACTAAATCCATTACTGTGTACCCCACTGGACGAGAGACCAATGACAATGTCACCAGGTTGAATTTCACTTGTTCGTGGAAGTAAATTTTTTCGCTCCACAGCTCCTACCGCAAATCCAGCCAAGTCATATTCACCCTCGCCATACATGGAAGGCATTTCCGCCGTTTCTCCACCAACCTAAAAATATTTCCATTGGATTGACTAGTTAAATAGGCGTTTAATTAAATTACTTACCAAGGCGCAACCGGCCCTTTTACATCCCTCAGCAACCCCTGCGATGACCTCAGTAGCAACTTCAACGTCGAGGCGACCGCAGGCAAAATAATCAAGGAAAAACAAGGGTTCCGCGCCGTGCGCAAGAACATCGTTGACGCACATCGCAACCAAGTCAATTCCAACCGTATTGTGTTTACCACATGCGATAGCTATCTGTAAAACCAATTCATAAAGTTATTATTTATATATGATGCTTTTTGGGATAAAATAATGAATTTAGTTACTTTGAGTTTAGTGCCAACACCGTCAGTTCCAGAAACGAGGAGTGGATCCACGTAACCAGCAGCTTTTGTATCAAATAACCCACCAAATCCACCAATACTCCCAATTACGCCAAGTCGTTTAGTAGCGCCGACAACAGGTTTAATGGCAGAAATTAAAGAATCACCAGCTTCAATGTCGACTCCGCTGCTCTTATACGTCAGCACACCATCCCTTAGGATGGATCTGTACAGTTATGCAATTTCAAATAACATGACAGTGCCAAATATTTTATGGCTGATAAAAAAATATGTTACGAGCGATTAAACATGTATTATGTGTCTCACAGCGTACAGTGTAAAAGATATTAAAATACCTAGCGATTCCTTTGTGCGCGATATCAGTTCTAAATTGTTTTCCATCAAACTGTATACTTTGAGCTGCTGCGGTTGCTCTGGCGGCTGCTAACGCCAAGGATGGTGCTAGAGACACGGCTATCAGAACTCGCCCACCTGTTAAATAAAACAAATATTCAATACTTGTACCTCTTTTTCCCGATATTAAATCTAAGCCTAAGTCTCTGAAGCTGTACCGTTTGTCAATAAGTCACCGGTGCTGGATCGATTTGTACCACTGTGGAAGACGAAGTGATTTTGTCGTATTGCTACAGTTTTGACTCCAGTTATTACTTGTCCCTTTGACGAGGACTCTGGATAACCCCTAGATGCTAAAATAACGCCTACAGCCGAAACATTTTCATGCCAGGATACGTGAGATTCAGTGAGGGTGCCAGTGCAGCAGGCCTATTTGTGACAATGAAATTTCTGATAGAAAAAAATGTCATTATTATTATACTTCAATTAGTGAACGATGAACAGACCTTTATGATGGCAAAGAGATCAGATTTGAGCAATGGTAAAATAACTTGTGTTTCAGGATCACCAAATCGGCAATTGAATTCCAAAACCTTAGGACCATCTTGAGTTAACATCAATCCAGCGTAAAGTACGCCAACGAACGGAATATTTTCTTTTCGCAAGCCATCCACTGCTTTTTGAAGTACATTTTTTTTCACTAGTTCCCAGTCTTTTTGACTTAGGAGTGGACACGGACAATAAGCTCCCATACCCCCGGTATTTGGACCAGCATCGCCATTGAATATTCTCTTGTGATCTTGAGCAGGAGCCATGCTAACAACAGTTTTTCCTAAAACAATATTAATTATTATATAAAGACAGTTTAGACTAGATAATATATAGAATCTATTTTGTCGAATCACACCGTCGGTAAATGCTAATACTGATACTTCCTCCCCCTCCAGGAGTTCCTCAATAACAACATTTTCGCCAGCGCTGCCGAATTTTCTATCGGTCAGCATTTCATCTACTGCCTGACAAGCTTCCTGTTTATTAGCTGCTACAACCACACCTTTGCCTGCTGCCAGACCTGCAGCTTTAACTACCAGAGCTTTGAATGGTGACCTAACATGATGAAAGATTGATGATTATATAATAATGAATACCAGAATATTGTCAATAAATATTTGAGCATTTACTCTTTAATGAATTTCTTAGCATCATCTGCTTTAATAAATCCCTTCCACCTAGCAGTAGGAATATTATGTCTATCCATAAAACATTTAGCCCAATCTTTGTCAGATTCAATCCTGGCAGCTTCCTTTCCAGGTCCAAAGCATAGTATATTAGCATTCTTTAATTCATCTGCCAAACCATTTGCCAAGTATTCCTCTGGACCCACAACAACAAAGTCTACTTCATTTCTTTTACTCCACTCCACAATCTCCTAGAATTGACCAAAACAATATGTACCATATGTACTACAAAATGTATCCAGCATCTCACATACATACCTTATTGTTTTTAACATTTAAATGTACCGAAAAAACTTTATCTATCTCACAGATACCGACATTGCCAGGACTGACATATATACGGTCAACCTAATAAATAATAAAAAATAAATAAAGCAATATCAAATTAATATTTAAAAATAATATATATACATATATATATATATACAACTCACATCATTTGATTGGGCCAATTTCCAACATATAGCGTGTTCTCTGCCACCGCCGCCAATCACAAGCACAGTGTGTTTAGCCATGACTGAGAATGGAATAACTGTGGTTAAGACTAACCTAATGTAATTATGAGTTGATAAGAAAATTCAAAACCAATTAACCGTAGGGTGCAGTGAATAATCGGCAAATAAATTAGTAAGCACATGTACGATACCTCTTGTATGATCTTATTGTTATTTCTTTACAGGGTGCTCTACGCTCTTAGAAGCAACAAGTGTCCGCCGAGTGTTATATAGTCGCACACAGACTATAGAAACTTGCTTGGTATGCTATAATAAAGTACAGCCGACCAACTGAGCGGTTCTACTTCAACTAAGCTGAATTTTCTACATTGCTGGTTGCTGTTGACGTTCACTCAGCTACTTGATCTGACCATTCGAATGGGTTATCATGAGATATTTCATCGCGGGGGTTACATTTCGCAATTAAATAATCTAGCGATAACTTTAAAATGACCCTAATAAATATTTGTGAGATTGTAATTCTCCATAAAACTGAATACACAATATTGCGAGTAGATATACATTAAAAATGCGAATTTCTTACTAATGGAGAATGATTGCACAAAAAATAATAAAGTATACAGGTCATGAACGTCAACTCCCTCTAATCTCTTTCTAGGATAAACTCGAAAATATCTTTCTGGCAATAATAATTGCTGGGCACACGTAGACTGTATTGCTGTTTCCTACTTTATAATAAACGAGTCGATCGTTTTACTCAGCAGTTGGAAAAATTCCGTGAATTGCGAGTCTGCCAATGAGCAAGAACATTCGTTTGTTCAATAAATTCTTTTTGACAGACGGAGAAATTCTATAAATTAGAAAACGAGTTCGTTTCCATCACAGAAATGTTTCAGAGGCTAGAAGTCAAGAAGATCCATACTCCCGGGTCGGCGAAATAAACGACACGAGGAAAAAATGTCCATCGTTGTCAGTCCAAGTATACGATTCTTACAGAAAATGAATAGCCTTGCAAATCTTCTGTCCAGGACGAGAATTTCAATGAAAACTATAAACGTCCCATTCGAAAAAAGATTATTTTCTACGTCCTCCACCAAAATGCCTATAATGATATCTGAGAAGGAAATGGCCATGCAATGTCTAAAGAGCGGACCAGTCAGTTTTCTTAAGTTACATAAATTCCAGTATGCAACTTTAAAAATTATAAATACTTACTTATACTTTTTTTTTACAGGGCATTATAAAACCACGTCCAAAACTTAAGAAGGTACGAGTCTATCGTTGGAGTCCGGATAAACCAAATGTAAAACCATACATGCAACAATTCGTGGTGGATTTAAATAATTGTGGAACAATGGTGTTGGATGTGTTACATTATATAAAAATGGAATACGATCCGACATTATCGTTTCGCAGATCCTGTCGCGAGGGAATCTGCGGCAGTTGTTCGATGAATATAAACGGAGTGAATACCTTGGCGTGTATAACGTAATGGAAGTTTCTAAATGTTACTTTTTTTTATGTATTATGACTTCTAGATAATTTATCGATACATTGTAGGAAGGTGAAACCAGATGAGGCAAAGCCGTTAATAATATATCCACTACCGCATATGTACGTTATTCGGGATCTGGTGACGGATATGAGTCATTTTTTGGAACAGTATCGTCTGATCGATCCATGGCTGAAGAGAAAAGGCGAAGAGAATTTTAATGGGATTCGACCACTTTTACAGAGTGAAAATGATCGTAGTGATCTTGATGGACTTTATGAATGTATACTCTGTGGATGCTGTTCTTATGCCTGTCCTCCATATTGGTGGCTTGGAGACCGTTATTTGGGTCCTGCCATTCTTCTGCAGGTTTGAATTTTAATTTCGATTGTATTTTAATACAGTTTAAGTAATGTAAATTATTACTCAACAGGCTTATAGGTGGATCATTGATTCTCGAGATACTGCAGACAAAGAGAGACTGGGAAAGTTGCGAGATTTTTATTCGGTTTTCCGGTGTCAAACCATCTTTAATTGCACCAAGACGTGTCCTAAAGTTGGTTTCATTTAATGTAACGCGAATTAAGTTTACTAAACAGCTTTAAATTTTAGGGATTGAATCCTGGCAAAGCGATAGCCCAAATAAAACGATTACTCGTGGGTCTCGCAAAAAAGAAAAGACCCGATCTTGAAACTCCTTTACCAAATCCTTGTGGAGGAAAAGAAGACATTCCATGTAGAAAAGAATAACGAGATGCATTCATGTGAAATCAATATCTAATTTCATGATAGAAGACGTTAACTACGTGGTTGATAATCATGTTTTTTAATAAAATGAATTTCATTGCGTGTACGCGCAAATATGCTGCTCCCTTTTCTTGATAATGAATGCCCGTCTGATAGGCTAGACGGCCATCTACAATTGGGTAAAGATTCATTAGACACGGTAGAGACTGCTTAACAAACGTACAACTATTTATTATCAAATCATAATGTATTAGGAATTATTACATATCAAAAGAGCCCTCTAACAGCGTTGGATGAGGTAAATCCATCGTCAGTGTGTCCTGCATTGTACTTTAGATAGATCCCATTTGTACTTAAAGATTATTATTATTATAAAGAATTATATTTATTTTGAAAATACAGAAATGATTCATATTACCGTAATGAAATTAATAAGAATTTATTATCAGTCATTTTTCAGACTTTCAGTGGAAAGTCCTTGAAGGTTTTTTCATAATTATCATGGACGACAATTACATTCTTCACTGGCCGTAACGGATTCGACTGGTTGGCGAAGAATTTTCGTCGTGTGCTTCTCTGATCAGCGAATTAACAGTTTCGCGCATTTCGCGGTCACGAAGCCAAGGATGCAGCAGTACTTTACTAATAGTAATACGTTTTCCTGGGTTAACCGTAAGCATACTACGGATCTGTAAAAAATGTATTAATTAGAATTGTCTCTTGTATAAAAGTTTTAGAGAGGAGAATAAAGAAAAAGGGATGACTCGTACCAAGTCCTTGGCATTTTCTGAGATGTGATCAAATACAGGAGGAAAATTATACATTCCCCTGACAATTTGGTCCTGTAGACTTATCTTTGAATGATGCATGTTGAAAGGTACACGACCACTTAGGCAACAATACAAAATCACACCCAAGCTCCACACGTCCACCTGAATAATTGTTTTATATAATAGACATTTATTATCCATTTCTGGTTCAGTCTTTTGTAAAAATATTACCTGCTTAGTGTATGCGCCTTTGCCGCCTGTCAATAAGATTTCAGGAGCAACATACATAGGGGTACCACAGAATGTTTTCATCATTGTTTCAGAGTCTAGCAGTTTGGACAAACCGAAATCCGACACTTTCACAAGTGTTACGTCGTCATCGCTTGCCAATAATATATTTTCTGGCTGTGAAACATAGAATTAGCGATCAACACAGGTTTATGAATGAGAATATTATTAGGATGACGATATGTACCTTCAAGTCTCTGTGGGTTATGCCACTTTCATGAAGATAGTGTACAGCAAGAATGACTTGATAAAATATCAACTTAGCACATTTTTCAGATAATCTCTGTTTTGAGCGAATTCGTTCAAATAACTCACCACCCTCCATCAGTTCAAGGATTATATATACTGTGGACGGAGTGTCAACAATTTCTTCCATGCGAATTATACATGGCTGTAAGTATATAAATTTTTTTTTCTATACCCTTGGATAACAATAGAAGATTGCAAAAGCGCACAAAAGGTCCTACTTACGTGTTTTAAAGCTTTTAAAATTCTAACTTCATTCATAATTTTTTCTGGGTCATTTAAAGGATGTTTGCCTCCATTTGATGCTTGACTTTTTTTGGTTATCATTTTCATTGCATACTTTTTACATCCAATTTTAGAAAATATCAACTTAACTGTGCCACAAGCACCTGTTCCCAATGTTCGAGAGATAGCATACTTGTGTTTCAGTACTGATGGTAAACCACTGCCATCAAGTGCCTTTGTAGTCATAAAGGTATATGCTATTTCCATAAATAAAGTGGATATAGAATCAATACTCGTATAGAAAGTTAAACTTATAGCATACTATAAAATATCTACCAGTAAAGCCAGGTATTGAGATGGAAATGACATCGTTATTCTCAAGTACGACTCGTTTTCCTGAACCAACCAACGTCTTGTTTACATAAGTACCATTGTGACTACAATCTTCCAAATACACAATTGGATCTTCCTCGCAGTCACTCAAATATGTCCTACTAATCTTGAAATGTACTTTGCTGACAATGTTGAGCAATTGAAGTTTCAATTTTTGCTTCATCAGACATATATCACAGCTTGCCGAACGTCCCACAGTATACTCGTCTTTTATCAAATCTGTAGAATTATAAAAAATAACAGTAGATATACAGTAAGCAAAGAAAGAAGATCCTCCAACTTACCCACATTGTTCTGAACATACTTATTGCGCCATAATCGACCCCAAGCGACCTGCCTCTGTTGTGATACTTCTTGTGTGATTACCACCCCATCAGCATTTTGAGTATCCGGCAGAGTCAAAACTTCTTCGTTGTTCATGATTTTTTAATTTCAATTATAAAGGTAAATCCAATAAATTTGAGGTCCGACACAAATGACGTTATTAACTACTTAATCCCAAATCCGAACAGAAAGTTATAAAAAAAATGTCAGGATAATAGATCACACAGGTCAACTGGTACGATTAACTCATACTAAAAGTATACTGAACGCTCATCTCTTACAAAGATCGTTGAAGAAACTAAACTGAATTAAATTGAAATTATCCGACCGCTAAACTTTCATAACAACAGGTACCACGTGTTCAGTGGTTTTCAATATTTACAGTGGTTCCCATGCGACGTAGTTAAGTGGCGCGCGAAACAGCAAAACATTCATGACAAAGTAACATGCCTTCAAAAGCATATTTTCATTCGTAGAATTATCAGATTCCTTCCTGACAATATATCACGAAGGTAATTAACCTTTCTTTACTTATTCTTTCAATACTTTAATTAACAAAAAGGATTGTTGTCTGAATGCTGATACGATGATCGGGACTCTACGTATGGCCGTTTTCTTCGACGCGGTTTAATGCATAAATCGGTTTAACTGAACTATTAGCCAATTAGACACTTGAAATTTGAAGATAAACGGAGTTTACGCATTGAACCGCGTTGAAGAAAACAGGCCGTAGTCCGTCAAGAAAATGATCGAAGAATTTGTATTGGCAAATGTTTGTATTGTACATATTCGCAAATAAAATATATTAATCGGCATAAATAGGCGAAATGAATCTCATTAAAAGTGCTAGAATATTGCAGATAGATACTTCGACGAGACTTTTATGTGGGGGACTTTTCAAAAATACACTGGTCGTTAGGCGATCTTATTACGTATCGAAATGAAAGACCGAAAGTGGACGTTCAAGTCTTTGAAAAAATTAACATAGTTGACAATTTCTCGGGGTACTTCGTGAAATTGGCTACACATTACATTATTTTCTACATTTCACAATATACTCATAGAGAGTCACCTAATAATGCGGTAAACTCCACTTTTAGTGAAACTTATTATATTATACTTCTCAATACATTATGAAGTGCGTATACGAAATCTTCACTACATTTTATTATATAATTTTTTTGTTGAGAAAAACACTGCAGGCTATACTGTTCTAATAATACAGAAAATATTGGAAACGCATTAAAGTTTCCGTATGCTGCTGCGGTGCCTTTATTATGTATAATATAGTCTTTCCTTAAGAAGTTTCACGAGTCGCTGGCTACTATCAGTTTCATTTCTTATTTCTTTTCCCTTTCTTCTCCCTTACAGTAATTATTATTATTGACAGCGCGTTTACTGTATCAGATGATATTACAAATCATCAACAATAATCGGCCCTCGTAACGTTTCTAACGTGTAAACGTAAATGTTATCGCTGGGACGCGTACAAAAGCCAAACTAAGAACACTCATGCCATCAACGGTGAGTACTAATAGTACGTAATAAGTATTTAGTAATAGTACTAAAAAGCTGCTAGGACTGTCTGGTATGGCGACCCGGAGATTCTGAGAATAGAGGGAGAGGATCACGCAGATTCTAAATAGACAAATAGCATCCTGGACTAATGGCGACAAGGATTATCTTCTACAAGGAGCTATCGGATTTATGGCCTATGTACGTTCATTGGTATGTCCTCTCTATTAATTAGAGTGACAATTGTTTCCCTCGGGATACAATTCTGGCAATTCGATTAACAAAAAAACACCAAAGCACTCAGTGAGGATAATCAAGGCTAGAATTGTAGGAAAACTGTTGACAATCAATCCAAGAGATCAGATATCGAGCGAAATCAGTGACAACTTCGTTTATTATTCACCAAAATAATTTAGTACCACATCGATCGAGGTGTGTTTGTTTTTTATCGATGGCGAGGGAGGGATTGGG